TTTACAAGTAAGACAGTGAATGAAGATGTGTGAGTTGGTGTCAGGGCGGCGGGTCACGCTAGACTTTTTTTGTTATCCGTTATCTTGACCGACAACATAAAAAAAAATAATAATAATCTGTCATGTACTATTTTTATCCGTGAAATTACAATCTAGTCGCATTTTATGCGGTTTAGTTAATATTCACCGTGAATCCAGATCCCATCACAAATTAAGCAGATAAATGTATCTACATTTTTCTCGTAGTGACAAAAACCACTGACTGAGGCCCAATAACTTTTAATAAATTAAATTACGCGAATTTACTTAAATTAGCATCACTTCACCCGCTGGGGTCTGAACGCACTTCCTCCTGGTTCCCATCTGCAGAAAAATCATCAGTCAGTTGGATCTGTCTGATCCAAACAGATCAACTGAACTCTGAGTGTTTTACCAGGATTTATTTATTCATTTATTTGCGTGGTTTCGCTTCTCCGAAACGGACAGATGTTACGTCTGCAGCTCCTCCAGAACGCCGCTCTCCTGGGTAACGTGAACCCAGAAGGCTCCATTTGTTAAATCCGGTGGATGAATTTCTCCCAGCGGTTTCTAATTCTTCGCAGCGGCGGAGCCGCGTCCGCAGTGGTTGAGCAGCGGACTGCGCATTGTTACAGTCTAATTAACTTTTGCATCGTCATTTATTTCCTCAAGATAAACTGCCGGCTCCTCAAATGGATTAACACAACGTTGCATTCTCTTTAGTTTTCTCTGGTCTGTAATGGAGACTTGAATTTAACGCGCCATTTCAACCAAAGGTTTGTAATGCGCTTCCTAACCAGACGCTTCAAAGCATCCGGTCCATAACTCTTCAACACTCTGTCAGCTCCCGGTCAGAAAGAGGAATTTCGTTCAGAGACCATGAGATGATATTCAGAAAGGATTTTTTTAATTAATTGATTTCAGTTGCCTCTGAGACTAAATCTTTGCGTAAAGTCTATAATGTCTGCCCATGTGACTTGTTTTTATCATTTGTTTTCTTACCTTTAAACACTGATTTAAATATTGTAATTTTTAAACTGAGCAGTAATTTTACATCCATGGAAACTCAAATGTAATATTTAAAACTTCATTACATAAAACCAGTTATTTAACAATATGAGGTGTTTAATTTATTTTTAACATTGTATTTTTATACATTTATGCTAGGGGTGCCCAAGTCTAGTTTTCCAAAGCTCCCATCTGCAACTTTAGATGCATTCCTTCTCTAACACACCTGGACCATTGATAAGCCTCTACAGAACTGAATGAGGGAAGTCAACCTTTTGTCTGGGGTGTTTTAGCAGGGATGCACTCCTGATTTGTACCGTCAATGTGGCCCGTTGAGGGGGCCAATATGCTGAAGTGGCCCTCGGTGAAATTGAGTTTGACACCCCTGCTCTACTAGGACTACGCAAACCCAAAATGAAACGCATCTCAATCTACATCAACATCTGACATCTGCTACTACAGTCTAAGAGAAATCTTCTATGTCTGATGCCTTTTAGCGATTGCATTAAATCAATCAACCAGATTCCAAATTCAATTCAAATTCAATTACAAAATACTTTATTAATCCCAAAGGGAAATTAAATGTTGTTGTAACTCATTAATTCTTCAAAGAGTTATTGTAAATCGTCATGGCTACTGGCAGGAAGGATCTCTTGTAGCGGTCTGTATTCCAGTAAATCTGAAGAAGCCTCTGACTGAAGATACTCTGCTTTCCCAAGACAGTCTCATGAAGAGGATGATATTATTTGCTGTTCATACTGAGGATTTTTCTTCTTATAGACCAGTGGTGTCCAAAGTCAGTGCTGGAGGGCCGGGAACCAGCATGTTTTAGTTCTCTCCCTGGTTTAACACACCTGGAGGCAATGATGGCTCGTTAGAGAACATTGACATGCTGAAAAGGTTGTTTCTACCAGCAGGGAAAGAACTAAAACATGCAGAATGCCGGCCCTCCAGGACCAACTTTGGGCACCCCTGCGTGTAGAAAGTGAGTTTTTCCTCTCCACTGTCACCACATGCTTGCTCAAGGATTTTGACTTACTGTAAACTTGGATAAAATGTCTTGGATTTATTGGATGGGTGACTTTTAACCAGTTCTTTCTAAATGATAGCTGATTGCACTATTTTATAATTCCAACTGAACTGGACTATCAGTTTGATAGAACTCAATTTCTATGTAATGTGTATGCCTACCTTGAGATTATATTTATTATGATTAGGAAATATATGACTAAGGGGAATTTAATTATAAGTTTTTGACTGTTGGAGGCTCCTGAAACTGTCAGATGACACCGTAGCTCCATTTGTTATGCCATCTGCTTCCTGATCTACATAAAACAGCTCCTTACAAATCACATCAGTGATGTTGCATAAATCACATAAGCACATTATTTCCAAATCAGGTCTTAATCCTATTTTTGACAGTAAATGCCTTATTTAACTACATACACTGAAAAAAACATTACATCGTTGTTGATGTTAACTTAATATTCAATCCACCTTCAAGCTTCATCTTTGCTTGAAATAATCCAAACTTGTTTTTATGAGTGTTTTTAACAGATCAAGTTCAATAGTTACATATCAAAATTAGTCAACAATCCTCCAAACTTCAAAGATGGGAGTGGCACAAAGCTCTATCTGTGCAAGCGAGGAGGTCTCTGACTAATGTTTGATGAATGCTTACCCCGGTAAGAGTGGGTGTCAGTAGTGATCCCATCTGCCTGCACAATGGTCTGATTGTTGGGATGGAGCACCCTCTTAAATCCTGAACTTTGGACAAACATCCTCAACGTTTGTTTGGCACAAAACTGAGATTAGATTTTCCCACATTTACTAGGAATCTCAACGTACAGTTGCTTAAGAAAAAGCAAAGATTGTACTTAGTATCTTGCAATGCAGTTGTAACCAGAGGTTTACATACTCTGACTAAACTCCTCTTATTTTAGATCAACTTAGATTACCAACATTAGTTTTCTTTGCTAAATGGCACAATAATGACAGAGAAGATCAGATATAATTATTGTCTTTTAAATTAGAATTGTACACAGAATATTTTCTTTTTTTTTTTAATAACGAGGGAACTTCTTCGAGGCACGCCTGTGGAAGTATTCACAAGCCATGCCTTCAACACACTTTCTTGTTTCACAGAATGGGAACGTCCAAAGAAATCAGCCTGGAAATCGGTTGTGGAGCCACACTGGTCTGGGTCTCCCTTGGGATCCATTTCTAGATGCTTGACGATGCCATGTTCATGTGTTAAAATGATTAAATGCAAGTTTAGACTTGATGGGAATGTCCAAACATCATGTCACTCAGGAAGGAGACGGGTTCTGTGTCCCAGAGAGGAACGTATTTTGGTCCAAAATGTGCAAATGAAACCAAACAATAGCCAAAACCTGGTGATGATGCTAGCCTAAAGTGCTAAAGATACAGAGAAAACACCAGAAAAATTCAGTTTTTGTCTGTTTGTAGTTTACATTATTACCATGCAGCTACAAAATGAACACATGTGGAACACTTTTTAGAGATGTTCTAATGTTTTCAGTGACACAATAAGCAAAATTTCTGATAGTTACTTCAAAACATAGACATTCAGAACCAGACCAGTTTGTCTTGAATGCCTGAAATGTTCTGTTGTCTTTTCACTTGAAATGTTCACATATTTAGAAAAAACAAACGCTTAATTCAGTTATTTTATGGCTATGAATAGCTCAGTTAAAGAAACTGTGAACCGGGTCCAGACATCCTATGCTGGAGCATATTTGCCAGACTTGTGTACTTTACTGAATGTTGGGGACTTTTCCCTGTGAAATCCGGATATCAGGGTTTTAAAGAAAGCACTGAGCAAATATGCTTACATGAATCTGGGTCTTAATCTGTCGAATCAAAATGTTTGACTTTGACTCTTCTTTAAAACCGGCATGGATTACATACAATAGCTAGGAATAAATGGTTCAAAACTGTACAGATATTTTTGTTTTTATTGTTGTGTCTTGTTTTAAGTATTCTGAAATGTGTGGCAATTTACTTTTCATCTGAACAGTGACCTTATTTTCTGGTTCTTTTTTTCCATCTGTTTGTCTTTACAATGTTCCTTTCATCAAACCGCTCATGTTTTTGTTAGGTTGGAAACTTGTGTGGTCTGAGATGATCTTCCCACCTGTGAAACTGTTAACCGCGTTTTGTTGTTGTTGTTTTACGCAGGTGGTGATGAGGAATACATCTACATGAACAAAGTGGTTGTTTCTGGAAAAGGCAAAGACGACAAAGGTAAGAGATGTGAAATGATTTGTCGCTAAAAGGTGACAAATCATGGGGAAGAATTCAATCTTATTTTTATTTTCATTGAGAAAATGAGCAGAACTTTGCAACATATGAAAAGATTGCATTATAAAGCACAGAAAAATGCTGCCTATTTATGCAGACTTGTGATGACCGTTTAAATGGTGAAGCCATTCTTTCTATCACAACTGTAGTAATCTAACAATTGATGCCATGCATGCATTACAGAACAGATCAAACAACTTAAAAGCATTTATTTAAACCTGCTAGCTTGGTTAGCATTTGATGATCTTCTGTGTTGCATAAGACTACATTTCATAAAGTCGTCATCTAGAGCTGTGATGACCAGTTACATTGAAATGTTTCAGATAATCATAAAAATCAGTTAATAAAACAAGAGTAAATTCAAAGTAGAGTATTCAAATGAGGATTTTATTTTTTTCAAACAGAACGGTGTAAAAAGGTACATGTTAAGTCATGAAATTAACTGTGCTAAAGCAACATTTTTGGAATGCTGTATTCACTTGCCACACTTTACTGACCTGTAGATGCAGGAAATCACTTCAGTAGAACCTTTCTGACGACATGAAGTAGGCTTCATCACTTTAAGCTGACACATCAAATTACAGAGCCGATAAGAAGCAAACTAACTGAAATCTGTCAAGCTGGAAATGCTCACAAGGCATTTGTAAAGCTTTGGTGCTACTCCAAACCACACAGTGCTATTTTCCAAAACACATGAATCACTGGTGAACCTACTCAGGAATTTCTGGACTACCAAAGTTACTCCCAAGTACATCAGCGACTCATCCAGGGGGTCACAAAAGAACCGGCAACATCTGAAGTTCTGCTATTGTCATTTGCCTATGTTAAGTTTAGTGTTAAGGATTCAACAATAAGAAAGATATTGAGAGTTCAAGAGCCAGACCTATGCCTGACCACAAAGGTCAGGATCGCATTTGGCAAAAAAATTAAAAAATAAATAAAACCTCTTAATAATTTCCAAGATTTTTGGGACAATACTCTGTCTGGACGACCTGCTGACAATTCTGGAGGAGAATCGGTTTGTGACCAAATCACACCAGTAAAATCACTTCTAAAGTGTTCAAAAATATAAAATAGTAAAGAGTGACATAAAAAGTAAAAAAAAAAAAAAAAAAATTGGCTCAATTTTTCACAGCACTGAATAAGAAGCAGTATTATAGTGTTTCGTTCAGAGTTTTGTGTATTTTTTTGAGTTTTAGACTTCACTTATCTTTTTGTTTTTTGACCTTACTTTATCAAATTCATCTTGTTTAATGTTTATCTGTAAAAGGAATGTTTGTGACGAAGCTTTAAAAGAAAAGCTCTCACCTGAAGGACTCTTAGTTGTAATGTTTGTGTGTTATTGTTTGGTCTAACCGGTGCACACAAACGACATTATCACATCTCAAGCTTAATTTAGAGTCAAATGAATAACTGAAAAGATAAGCTGCTGCAAGCAGAGGTGCACCCTCACCCGTCCTCCTCCCACGCACCATTTCCTGTCTGCTTCTTCGAAGTCTCCTCACCATCTGAGTCGGACCTGTTTTGTTTGGACAGCGATGAAGAATGTGGTTTTAGCAAGAAGCAGATTCAACACTTGTATTCAACGGCAGCACTAGAAAAGCCACAAGTTTTCTTCTACAGAACTGATGGAACGCTGAGATGTGAGAATAGAGCTTTCATAATCAGCAGACGCGTGTTTTAATCTAAAAGTCTTCAAATGCACATGAGAAAGGAAGAGGCTAAGCGCCGTTTTCTAGGGGCCGTAACCCAGCCAGCATGCCTAGGTGGGACCCATGTGGGGACAAGGAGGGCAGACTATATGGGTCCCATATGGGTTTGTCCGCGGGTTCCACGATGGCCCCACATGGGTTTGCCCATGTAGGGCCACAGCCCACATGGGTGCTACATGGGCCCTAATTGGACAAAACCCATGTGGGCCACCACCATATAGGGCCCATGCAGGGCCCATGTGGGCTCTGGCCCTACATGGGCAAACCCATGTGGGGCCATCGTGGAACCCGCGGGCAAACCCATGTGGGACCCATATAGTCTGCCCTCCTTGTCCCCACATGGGGCCCACCTAGGCATGCTGGCTGGGAAGTAATGCAACTTAACTTGGCGTCTTTGAAGCTCAACTGTTGATGTCAGAGGAGAATGGCAGACTGGTTTAAGATAATACGGCGGCAACTGTATCTCAAACACCCATTCATTACCACCAAAGAATGCAAAATACTTGTATTCCTGAACATATGACATGTTGAACCTTGAAGTAGAGAGGCTACAGCAGCAGAACATTATTCCAGGTACCACTCATGTAGACTAATAACTGGAAACTGAAGCTACAATTTGCACAGACTCACTGAACTTAGACAACAAGAATTAGGACAAACATTTCCCGATCTGATGGACCGGGCAACATTCAGATGCTAGGCTGGGAATTTGTTGTGAAAAACATAAAAGTAAGGATTCTTCGTGCTTTGTGTCAAAACTTCAAGCTATTGGTGGCCATTAAATGATATTTCCATCATTAATTTAAACACTACAACCCACCTAATTATTGTTGCATGTCAGAATATTCCAAAATCCCTGAGGAATGTGTCCATATTGTTTAATCAACGGCAAAAAGAATTAAGACAAAAGAGGATTTCAAACTTTTACTAGAAGATGTACCTAATAAAGTGTCCAGTGAATGACTTCCTGTGCCAGTCACACTTTGAGATGGCTGCAGCTTCTCATGAATCCCTGCAGTGTTAGAAACTGTAATAATCGAGGCTTTTATCCATCAACATCAAACCAAAGTTATCAGTGAAACTTATCATTAAAATTGAAATTTAACGAACACATTTACTACAATAATCGTCCACTTAAAATAAATTCCACATGGCAAAAACATGCAACTTTTAAAACCACAGATGAAGGGAGTGTTGGGTTACTTCTCTTCTAACTTCCTGCTTCAGATAGCTGTGCTGCAGTGTTCCTGCTAGCTTTTTCATAAATGGAGTGAATGGAGATCAGGTCTTTGCAGTTATTTTATTATTTTCTTTTCAATAACAGCTGCTGCGTATGATGAGTTGACGACGGGTTATATCGCTATGTCCTGCAGCCACCAATAGGGGGCGTCTACTTCTAAAGGCATCAGTTACTTCATAAATTAAAGAAATGGGTAGGAATCAAGGTGTAAAAATGGCTTAGCCTCACATATTGTCATCTTAAATGTAGACTGCAACCTTATATTAACTATAAACTGTATCATAGAGATATTTACGGTATTAATTTAAGCTCTGGAAATATTCTAATTTTTTTATAAAGCTTAGAGGTGCAATAGAATAGCAAGTTGGCAGGGCTGGTCACCAGTCGATTTCAGTACTTCTGAACAGTTTTCTGGTAGTGAAATTGATCCGATCATGCAAAATGCTTCTACATGTGGTTTTTTTTATTCGGTATCTGTGATTGAACAAAGAAGGTTCTGTTCTCAAAGGACTTCCAGAAAGCATTAGTTCATAGGAGAGTAGTGAAACATCTGGAGATTGAGTGCTTGATAAAAAAAATAGACTGAGTCTACATTTGCATAATGCTCAAGTTATTTGATTTCCCACAGGTTTTTAAAATTAAAATAATCAATATAAGCACAAGATTTGAGATAATACGTACTAATCTTCTTCTTTTTTTTCCCTTCCTTCTGTGCATCTGTGTAGCAGATGACCATTTGGACGCCTTTGTCAATGGAAAAGCAGCAAAATTTGTCCCAGTGCCACAGAAGAACCTTCCTGACCTACCACCACCCAGAACAGTAAGTTATTGCCAGTTGTTCCCGTTCCATCACAGAAAAGAATTATGAGATTTTAAACTTTGCAGATAACAGTGACATCCAGAAACTGAATTTAAATCAAAGGGAAGGGTCGGTGAAAATCATTAAATTCTCAGGTTTGTGAAATGAGTTCAGTGGTATTTGATATTTGACATGTTGACATTAAATGTCTTGCAAAAGTTTTGCACACCCCTTGAAATGTCGTAACATTAAAACTACAAACTTCCTTATATTTTGTTGCCATTTATTAGGAGTAGAATAACAAAAGCAGTGCATAATTAGAAAGTAAATAAAAAAGGATACATGTTTGTCTTTTGCAATTTGGTGGGTTGTCTTCTATGTGTGCAAATTTAGAGTTTGATGTTGGTTTCAGTTTATCTTTAGCTCAGACTCAGTCACATGGCACTATTGGTCTCACTGCCTGTTTTATTATGTATGATACTGTTTGCACTAAGCACATAATGGAAACACTGAATTCTCTTGTACATTTGGCAGTTTTGATCAGTTGAATTCAGTAGTTGAGGAAGACTGTCAGTGAACAGAGTTTCAACTTGTGTCATAGATTCTCAGTTAGATTTAGATCTGGACTTTAACTAGGCAATTCTAACACATATCATGATTTTAATTTGAAAATGAAGTGTAATTTTTCCTCCACTTGAGTTATTAAGTATTTTTTATTGTAACTTTACAAGCAGTAACAACGTTCAAGGTCTGTAAATACTCTTGCAAGGCATTGTAATAATAGACATTACTATCACTAATATAATGCAAACCTAATGATATTTGCTTTTATTTAACTGAAACAGACAAGGAAAAAAATTCTAGACTGTTTACAAGCCTATAAGTCACAGAAACAAGCGACCGCACACTAAAGCAGCAATTGCTCATGAGTGTGTGAGTGTTAGGCCTTTGTGTTGACCGGGAAATTACTGGTTCCTGAATTGGCCCAGTGCGACTCCGGGAAAATGGCAGAGAATGAGAGGCTCAGAGCATCCCATCAACCCCTTTGAACTTTACACACACAGACACAGCGGCCTTTCCTGATCTAAACCACAGAAGCAGCTGTTGCTAATCAGAGCAAATCTTTGGTGTCAGCACATCTTTGTGTGTATGTGTTGTGTATGTGAGTAAGTGAATGTGTGAAGAGTATTTATCTGTTAAAAATGTCCAGAAGTATTCCCATTTTTTTTTTAGCTCTTAGACTTTTAATCATTCTATCTCAGTTGGAGTAACTTCACATCTGTTGTATAACATCCACAAATCTTTCTGAAATGTCTGGCAAAGCGATTTCTCTTTGTCTCTCATCCACATCCAGTTCTGGTGTAACTGGTCCGGTCTTGGGGAGTCTAAGCAGACAAGTCCATAGTGAACCACTCTTTGGGAATCCCTTCATCTGTCTGTGGGGTTTCCATCCATTTGCCGTGATGGTGTATTCAAGAGTCAACATGTGCTTCACTGTGAACGCAGAGTCCCCTCTTGTCACCGCGGTGAACAGCGACCCTTTGCTGTTTATGTAATGTCCGGGCATGGCGGTCCACTGGCCAGTCGTAATGTTGTAGCAGTCCATCAGGCAGCGCAGGAAGTCATCGCAAGGCCCGTTCCTCATCACATACAAATTGTCCCTGTGGGCCACCATACAATGGCCGTAGCTTTGCGGTCTGATCATGGTGGTGGTGAGACTCCACTTGTCTTTTAGTGGCATGTACTCATAGATATCTGTAGTGTCGGGGGGTTTCCAGAAGCAAACAAACATTCGCTGACGAGCAACAGCACAAGCGGCTGATGCTACAGGTCTGGGTGCATGTTGGATAAACGTCCACTCTCCCTTTGCTGCGTCGTACTTCTCTGCTGTAGAAATTATCTGTTTTTGAGCTTCTCCACCAATGGCGTATAGGCGCCCCTCATGCCCAAGCAGCGTAAAGTCGTATCTTGGTTGCTGTGGACCTGGAAGAGTTGTCCATATCCCTGAATCTGGATTGTAGCAGAAGCTTCTGTCCACTGTGTCTTTGCCATAGCCGTAAATTCCCCCAACAATGTACAGCCGATTGTCAAGCACGGCCACCCCAGCCCTGGAGGTACTGCAAAGAATTGGCAGGTTTGTCAGATGCTTCCACTCCCCTTCCTTTTCATCAAGAAAGCAAATAACCCTGAAAGAGTCCTGCAGCAGCTCCATTGATGGCGTATGGGTCCCTATGGCAATATAACTAGCAGGGGAGAGCGTTTGAGAGTATTTGAGCAGCTCTTCAGGAATTGTGCCTTCTGCTGCTTCCTTGAGGTCATCAAAAGCATCACAGAGAAAGAGAGCAGCGTTCTGAAACAGTCTGTGCACTCCGAAGATGGAAGCCGCGTGGTAAAGCAAGAGGCAGTTATCCGAGTCTATGATGTCGCAAAGATGCCGAGTCAAAGTGGGGATCTGCAGGAAAGCAGCGCACTCTACGGCTTCAACAAGCTCTTCTGGGTCCCTGATGGGGGGGTTCTCATCCCTGCAGACGGCAAGCGCAATAAGGAAACCTCTTGCGTGCACGCCTCCTCTCAGATATAGCTCCTCTTCCTGGCTTTCTTTCATCCCTGAGTGAAAGAGAGCTCGGAAATAGTCGCTGTGCCTTACAAGAAACCCACGGTTAAGATGGAACCAGCTTTCCTCCACTCTCACTCTCACCCAGTCTGCCTCTGCTTCCTCCAGATCAACAGTTGGATTCTCGGCTTTAATATCCTGGCTGATTCCCAGGCTCCCAGGCGCTTCCATGATCGTTCAAACAAAGACCTCATCTTTCTAAAACAGGCCCCAAGTAATTATTTGGTGCATGACTTGAGTGTAGATTAGCCATTTTCCCCTCTAACACTACATGAGTTTAAGTATGAGCTGAACTGCGCCCCGCCTGCCTGGTCTGAAAATAGCTTAGGCTATAGATAGCTACTGTGTCACTTGCAGGCATTGGGCAGGATAGAGAAACCGTCAACATGCACTATGAGTTGTGTTGCTGTTTGGAACTACAGTGCAAAAGTATGAACTGTATTGGGATTTTATTGATTTATTTAGAAGGTGGAAAAGTAAGGAAAACAGATTTTTTTATAACAAATTAAAATCTGCCAAGTAACTCAGTATTTTGTAGAGGCAGTTTTTGCTAAAATTACTTCTGCGAGTCTTTGGTGGCGACAGTGGTAGGAGTTTGTTCCATAATTGGTGGGTTGCTGGTTCGATCCCCGCTTTGTCCGTCTCTGACGTTGTCATTGAGCAACATCTGTTGTGTCCTTGGATAAGTCGCCTCGCCTGCTGGTGGTGGTCAGAGGCGCCGGCATATGGCAGCCGCTATACAATTACAGACCATTTACCATTTGCTCAGTCATATTGTCTGTAAACAGTCATTTTCAAGTTCTGGCACAACGTTCTTGGTGATTTAGGTCTGGACTTTGACTAGACTGTTTTAAACATGGTTTGATCTAAGTCATGATACTTCCAATCAGTGTTTGGAAGCCTCTGAGAATTTTCTTCTAGGATTGTCCTGTTTTCAGCTCCATGCATCTTCCCATTAAAAGGCCTGTTACAATAAATAATGAATCAATTAATTGCATGATAAATTAAAAGAAACTCATTTTCATTCGCTTGACTTATCGTTTTTCTCTTTTTACCAAAAACTGAATGATAGAAGTGTTCACTCTGATGCTTTTGTCTCAACTTGCCCTTCTTTTGAAAGATAATTTTGTTTACAGAGGCTTCCTTATTCATTGTATTTGTTGTTTTCTTTATTTATTTTGGATATTTAACATGTCTTCCAGTTCCAATTTAATGTTCACTGGAATTTAAAGGTTATTGATCCTTGGCAATGTCTTCTTGCATTATTGTGTCATTGTTAACAATAATATTATCGTTTATCACAATAAGTTCTGGGGCAATTTATCGTCTAGCAAAATTTATCGTGGCAGGCCTACGACCATTAATTCTGACGAGCTTCCCTGTCCCTGCTGAATCATCCCCACAGCATGATGCTGCTACCACCATGTTTCATAAAGGGGATGGGTATTTATTGTGAGGGGCAGTGGCTTCATCTGATCTGAGCACCTTCTTCCACATGTTTGCCATATCTTGAATCAGGACTTCTTTTCTCCTCTTTCTTTTGATTGTCCTGGGTTTTATTTAGGCGTATCAGTGTAAAGGGGGTCATGTCACACTTTCCAAATTTGTATTTCTAAAAACAAAAAATGTTAGAAACAAAAAATGTTGCAAACTCCCCTCATGTATAATGTTTTTCTGGTCAGTCACATAAAGTCCCAGATATCCACAAACGCATATGTTTGTGGTTGTAGCATGAAAAAAAATTGTGAAAAAGCAATAAACTACTATTTACTTTAACAAAGTGCTGAATTGGTCATAGTTGTGCATCCTTTTAAATCTAATTTGTTTTGTTGTTAAGTCTGACCATTGTGGATTTCCTGTAATTAAGCATCATTTTTGGTCGGCTGTAAGAAAAGTTTATCTTTTGCAATTCGGAAAACATCCCTCTTTCCGAGGAGTCAAAACAGGAGATGAATGCAGAACATACACAGACTGACTTATGAGGTTTTCTTCACTTTACTGCTCTTGGAAAGCTGAGCTGCACTTTTCTATTTTAACTTTAACAGGAAGTGATGAGAGTGGCAGAAAAGTGTAGGATTTCTGAGAGCTAAAGTTTTTCCTGATCATTTTCATCACCAAGCCTCTGATCTGCTCTGAGTGCCCTACAGGCCCTCAGCTCCTCTGGGTCTCTGTGTTTGCACGTGTTTTTGCTGCGGCAGATTTTTGGCATGGGAACCAGGGATTTTCCATGTTCCTCAGAGTGTTCGTTTTTTGGGCTCTTTTTCCCACTCTCCCCTCAAAGCCCCTCCACCACACCCATCTTCCTCCCCTCCTTTCTCTCTCTCTTTGTTATTTATGCCCCAACTCCTCGATCCATCCCGTCTCGTCTGTGTTTCTGTGGTGAGGATGTGTGCATGTCTGAGTGTGAGACAGAGACAGAAGTGAAAGCAACAAAAAAAGTAGTTGGCATGTGTCCTTTTTTCTCTTTTTTGTGTGTGTGTGTCTTTTTCAACATTCCAGTTGGCCTTCACCCCCACAACCAGGAGATTTAGTTTTTGTGAAGATGACAGAAATGGAGAGAGAAGAAGGGAAAACAGATAGAGATAACAGTGGGTGGGCGGTGTGGATGGGGGGCTGCTGCTGCCGCTGCTGCTGCTCTGGAATGCTTGTCGTTCTTTTTTTGTTTTTTTGTTTTAATTAATAACAGATGCCTTCACTGCTCTGTGTAATCTATTTTGCAGTCTCATTAAGGGGATGTTTCTTCAAGGGAGGGCAAAAAGCATTTAGACCCCTAATCTGAAACAGGAATTTCTAACTTAGTGCTGTTTCTGTAAAATTCTGGGTAAGTTTCTGACTAACCTAACCCACCCAGATCCTCTTCTGAACAACCAGAGTGGGCTTGGACGTTCCTGTTATTGGACTTTTTTTAAAAGAGTTCCCTCAGTTAGTTGGGTATTTTTACTGTTACTTTTATTTACTCCATTGCCACTTTGATGAAAAGAAAACATCCATCTCAATCATGAGGTAGCTAAGTCATAGTAATAATTTTATTAGGAAAAAAAATCCCAATAAAACTTATTTCTTATTGAGTCCAAGGTTTGCACCATTTACATCACTGGATGATGACAGGGGACCACCGCCTATTGCTTTTCTGTGGAACATAATTCAAATTAATGTGGGAAATTTGTCTATTTATGTATTTTATCAAAAGACGGAGGATTTCCGTTTCTGCTGTAGTACTAAGACAGTTTTCACTCTGCCTACTAAAGCATGTTTGGTATTTGAATTATTAAAATAAGCACTTGTAAGCATTTAGAGGGCGCCTCAGGTGTTTGTGGATTTCAGCTGTTCGCGGGCGAATAATGGGTAAATGTGTAAATACTTTATTAAAATTGAAAACATGTTATTGAAGGAGAAAATAAATGCAATCTTTAGATATTATTGAACACAATGTGTAACATAGGAAGGGCAAAATATATCAAATGAAAACATTTTGCAGTTTTTCTTTTTCTCTTTTGATTGTATTTGGCTCAAGTGCAACATCCACACCTGATTAAATTCAACTTCTGGGTGTTTGGTACAATAAAAGCCTTAAACATTCAGATAACTTTAGTTGCTCCTTTAAAGTTCCTCAACCGTCTTTTAATCAACTGACTGGTGCAAACATAATGTATGTTGCAACATCAGGACTGCCTCAGAAAATGCCTGTTTATGTCGTCATCTTCCAGTTTGTTAGTTGTTTGCATAATATAAGTTCCTATCATTTCATATGGAAGATTTTGCATAAGATTTTTTGATGTACACAGAGTACAGGGAAACAAATGACATAAATACAAAATCTTCAGCATGGCGCTTTGAAAGCAAACCCAGAAAAAATTTTTATGATTCGGCTTTCAGGTGACTTTTAGTAATTAACATTATTCCTAAATTTAGCTTCATGACAATTACACCAGGAGCTTTATTAAACTGAATGTGAATAATTATATTTACTTTATTAAATTAAGTCTTGATTTATTTTTTTTTTATCTTTTTTAATTTAGGTAATAATGTTAATTATTTTAGGTTTTGTTTGTATCTCAATATCAATGTTATCTGACCCTTAAAGCGAATCAGCTGCCACACCAAATCGGTTGTATTTGAAAAAGTTTCAGGCTCCACCTTTAAAACTAATGAATAACCAAAATTGATCTTAACTCAGGATTTCATTCTGTCTCAAACAATAGATGTGATCTAAAACTAACAGAAAACCAGAGTAGGGCTTTAAACCAAAATTTGCACAATAAAAAGTTTTATGCACTTA